TCTGCCAACCTAGACCATGCTCTGAGCCTCAATTTCCTCATCTGCAAAATGAGAGCAATAACACAAGGTTATGACAGAGTTATTCTCAGCATCAAATGAAGTTTTTATTACCTTTAAAGCACTGTACGAATGTGCACTGCTAAAATCCATTCCTTCGTTCAACAAATAAGTGCCTACTACATGACAGGCATTAAGCCAGGCCTGAGCATACAGTGGTGATCAAAACAGATAGGGTCCCTGCTGTCACAGAGCTTTCAGCCCAGAGGCGTAGCCAGATATTAGCCAAAGATCTCCTTATCTGAGGTCCAAGCAGAGCGGAGATGCAGTAGGGCTGCTCTTTTAAAAAGCTGACTGTGGCTGCTGTGTAGAGCCAGAAGGCAGGAGAGGGAGCTGGGAAGCCACTTAGGAGACTTCTGCCTGCAATAGTGGCTTGGTCTTGGTGAGAAATAGCCAGATTCTGGATAGATTTGGAAGCAGAATCAATAGAACTTGGTGACAGACTAACTTTTGGGAGTGAGGAAGAGGCAAAGAGATATTTTAGCTAACTGTGTCCCCAGGACTTGGACCACTGGAGCCCACAAAGCCAATTCCAAGGCTGCTGAGGTATGATATATGGAGGGTCCATTTTTCCTTATCTTCCCTCTGTAGAGCAGTATGATGTCAGTCCTTCAGTACAGAAATCAGCCTGCTAGACTTGATCTGAAAAAAGCATTTAGTACTTAAAAATTTCCTTTCGTGTAGAATAATATATCGCGTTCTAGCTTTAGGTTGAATGCAGAATTCCTCTTAGAGGTAAATTGTTTGCTTCCAATTTTTAAACTGTTTTAAAATTGACAAATGTAATTATGTGTACACATTCATGGGGTACATAGTAATGTTTTGATACAGATAATGTTTAGTGATCAGATCAGGGTAATTAACATACCCAGTATCTCAAACATTTATCATTTATGTTGGAAACATTCAGTATCCTTCTAGCTATTTGAAACTATATACTATCATTTGGGTTTTTAGATTTTTTTCTTTTAGAAACTAGGTCTCTCCGTGTGGCCCAGGCTGGCCTCAAACTCCTGGGCTTATGCGGTCATTCTGCCTCAGCCCCCCGAGTAGCTAAGACTATAGGCACATGCCACCACACCTAGCAATGGTACATTATTGTTAACTATAGTCATCCTACAATGGCATAGAACACAAGAACTTTTTCTTCCTCCCTAGCTGTAATTTTGTATCATTTAACAAATCTCTCCCTAGCCCTCCCATTTTTGAATGGGATACTACTTTAAAAATAGCTGAGTTGCCATTAACTTAGGATGCTAAAAATGTTCTTCAGTCTAGGTGCTCTCCTATGGGACCAATATATGTTCTTTGAATTGGATTCCTTTCAGACCTTGTGCCCAATAGTGTTTGTTCCAACAGGTTGGAAGAGAAGAGGGCCCAAAAGGGGAGAAGGAGATGGGAAGGGCCATAGACAAACTTGAGTTTCGTAACAGTTAACCACACTTAACCGCAGTTAACCATGCTTTAGAGCTTCCAGGGGAATTTCACACATATTTGTTGTCATATTCTGCAAATTCAGGACCGCGGCTGTCTCCTGACTCCCCATCCAGTGTTTTTGCTACTTATTGCACTGCCAGGTCCTTAACTTTTTGGGGAGAAGGGGGAGGGGAAAGTCTCCGTGATAAACAAAAAAGTTTCAATAGACATTCAAAGCCCTTCTTTATTCGAAAGAATTTATTCCATTTGCATTGAGAAGGAGCATAAAAGAAAATTTGGTATTTTCCCACACCACTTTCATTTGTTAGTTCTTGCAGGCCTACCCTTCAGAAGCTATTATCTGCTTGACAGTCTGCTGAGACCTCTTGTCTTTCTTCCTCTCTCAATTAAACTCTAAGGACTGAGGTTCCCATCTGCCCTGGAGCGAACACATCTCTTGTTATACCTGTTTCCCAGAAGCTGGAGAGCTTTTTTACTTTCTCCAACCGCTATAGTTTTCTTTTCAAAACACTTAAACCTTCTTAGTGATGTTTAACTGCAGGTGTCAATTAAATTGGTTTCCCAAACGTGAACCAAACCTTTTCTCCAATTCCTGCTGCATTTACCCTGCCTCCACCCACCCTGAACCAGGAAAGAAAAAAATCAGACACAATTTACTAAGTTATTGTCCTCTCTTTTGTATAGCCCTCTCTTAACATGAATGTGGCAAAATTGCTAGGAAGAAATGGTAGGATGTATTTCTACTAGGCAGGTCTCTTTCTCTGCAGTTGATAGAGCTGATGCAGCCATCTCTGGTTACGGTGTTTAATTGAGCAGTACCCAATATGGTGCCGTTCCTCAGGCTCTTCCTTCACGGGAAGACAGAGGTAGCCGCTGAGCAAGGGGAGCCAACAGAAGTGGAATAGTTCCCCATTCATAGACCCTTGTGGGTTTTGAAGGAGAGAGGAAAGAGAAGGTGAGGAAATAATAGGACAGAAAGGGAAGAATAAGAAAGCTGAGAGGGGTGCTTACAAGTGGTGGAATAGAAATAAAGCTATGAATAGAATAATAGAAACTCAGATTTTTCCTTTTTTTATTTCTTTTTTTTTTTTTTTGAGACAGAGTTTCACTCTTGTTACCCAGGCTGGAGTGCAATGGCGTGATCTCGGCTCACCGCAACCTCCGCCTCCTAGGTTCAGGCAATTCTCCTGCCTCAGCCTCCTGAGTCGCTGGGATTACAGGCACGCGCCACCATGCCTAGCTAATTTTTTGTAGTTTTTTATAGTAGAGACGGGGTTTCACCGTGTTGACCAGGATGGTCTCGATCTCTTGACCTCGTGATCCACCCGCCTCGGCCTCCCAAAGTGCTGGGATTACAGGCGTGAGCCACAGCGCCCGGCATTTCTTTTTATTTTAATAGTATTATGTTATGTAAACCATTATATGTTATTTTTAAATGTATGAAAAAAATTTAATGGTTTTGTTATTGTAAAATGACACATTTGCTGTTAAAATTTCAAATAGTACTGAAGAGTTTCAAGTGAAACACACATGTCAAAATCATCAAGAGTAACAGTTACTTGTGTGTCCTTGCAAACTTGTTCCATGCTTATATAAGCACCTGTGTGCGTTTGATGCACAAATGAGATGATACAATACATGCTGGTCCATTCCTTGCCCATTTTTTTTTTTCAATTTACTAATAACTCTGCAGTTTTCTCATTTCTACTCAAAGAGATCTCCTTCATTCTTCTTAATGGCTGCATATCATCCCCTTGTGTGGATGCATCATGATGTGTGGAACCCATCCCTTGTTAATGGACATTTAGGTAAAATAAAAAGTCTAGCACCACACTATCCAATAGAAATATAACGTGGGCCACAAAATGCCAGCCACTTACAGAATTTTGAATTTCATTGTAGTAGCTACATTCCCCTCCCCAGCTGATTTGAAATGCCACCTTTATTATACCCTAAATGCTCATATATACATAAGTTTATTTTGGACTGTCTATTTTATTTCATTCATCTATTTGCCAATTTTGGTACCAGTATCCCCACTTCTAGTAGTCACATTGAAAAAGTAAAAAGAAAAAGGTGAAATTAATTTTGACAATATATTTTATATACTCCAGTATATCAAAAATAGTGTCTTACAATGTAATCAATATTAAGAATTATTAATGAGATACTTTATATTCTTTGTTTCATATTTAGTCTTTGAAATCTGGTGTATGTTTTACAGATCCAGCACATTTCAATTCAGACTGCCAATTTCAAGAGCTTAAGAGCCACATGTGGCTTCTGGCTACTGTATTGGACAGTGGAGGTTGAGCAGGCAGAGGTTCAAAATGTCACCTGAGCTGTGTGTCTCTGTGGTTGGTAGTAACGGATTAGAATGTCAGACATTGAGGATGAAAACTTCAACTTCACCACTCGGGGCAACTCATGAAGCTTCCCAGGGCCTTGGTTTGTGGACTCCAATACACTCATTGTATGCTGGTTGAGTGCAGACCAGAACAGCTGAGCCAAGTACAGTCAGGCCTCGCTTCACAATGGGGGTACAGTGTGAGAGAAATGTGTCATTAGGTGATTTCCTCATTGTGCAAACATCGTAGAGTGTACTTATACAAACCTAGATAGTGTAGCTTGCTACACACCTTGGCTATATGGTACAGCTTATGGCTCCGAGGCTACAAAGCCATACAGCATGTGACTTTGCTGAATATTACAGACAATTGTAACACAATAGTACTATTTATGTATCTGAACATACCTAAACATAGAAAAGATAGAGCAAAAATATGGTATAATCTAATGGGGCCATCGTCATATATGCAGTCATCGTATATGCAGTCCATTAACCCAGGGGTCTCAACCTCTGGGCCACGGACCCATATCAGTCCATGACCTGTTAGGAACTGGGCCACACAGCAGGAAGTGAGTGGCAGGCAAGCAACCATTACCACCTGAGCTCCACCTCCTGTCAGATAAACAGCAGCATTAGATTCTCATAGAAGCACGAACCCTATTGTGAGCTGCGCATGTGAGGGATCTCAGTTGTATGCTCCTTATAAGACTCTAACTAATGCCTGATGATCTGAGGTGGAACAGTTTCATCCTGAAACCATCCCCCACAACCAAGTCAGTGGAAAAATTGTCTTCCACAAAACCAATCCTAGTGCCAAAATGGCTGGGGACTGCTGTGTTAACTTACATGTCATTATGCACATTGCTGTATAAATGCCCTGGCCTTTCCACAAGCTGTAGCCTGCTGGCCACAGAGATAATAGAAAGAGCCTGGGTGCTCAGGAGGTGGTTATCTGAGGTCTGTCACAGGTTCCCCTTTCTTTGCCTCCAGAGATGCCTCTGTTCACAGCTTCTCATCACACTCAAAACCCAATGCCTGCTTCCCTTTTTATCAAAAGCAGAGTGTGTGGCAATGGGTCTCTGAGGAAATCCCTAACACTGTGGTTGGGGAGGGTGTGGTGGGTGGAACCCACACTGTGACTTACTCAACCGTGAGATCTTAACTGTGTGGCCCCAGAGCCACTGTGCTTCTGAGCGGCAGTGGTGACAGCCATGGCGGCACAGCTTAGAGCCTGGAATGGTAAGCATGGGTGCAATTGCATCTTGCAAGGAGACTTGCATTAGGGTTTGAATTCGAGGTTTGGTGCCTGGATGGGTGTCAGCAGAGTGGGAGGAGGCAGGTGGCTGGAGAGCACTGGGGATAGGTAGGGCAGCCAGCTTTGCCCTGGCCCGAGTCAGGCCAGGTTTGGGAAGCATTTTGACTCCACAGCAGGCTTGGGGGTTTGGCCCCTGGGTTGGCAGGAAGCTGAGAAATGTGATTATCTCCCACAGGACAACATGCTGTCTCTGGACAAAGGTGGAGGCCCCATGCCCACTGCCTGACTAAGTTCTAAACCAGCCCTCTCCCAGCCTTTTCTCCCCAAGCTGCCCAGCTACAAGACCCAACCCTATGGTGGAGCCAAGGATTCAGAGCAGCTAGGCTGCAGGAGAAAGGAATTTTCTCCTGTGGCTGCTTGGGAGGGAGCTCTTTTTCATCGGCCCCGCCCACCAACTTCCCCATTGCCATGCCTGGAACACCAGAATTCCTTTTCCGTTCCTGCTGCTACCTTTTCCTCCAGCCCTGCAGCCTAGAAACTCTCAGTCGTATCAGACTCTGAAGCACCAGGCAACAGCCCAGCTTCTTTCTGTTTGATCTCACAAGCCGTGACCTCCCAAGAAATCACACCTAGACTAGGAAGACAGAGTAGTGTCATAGGAAATCTAAGTCCCATGCACCTGGTAATCTCACCCCAGCTTCCACTGCTCCAGCCCCCTCCTTGGGCTGGCCAAAGTGTAGAAGCCCTGTTGATTAAGTCTCTTCCCTGAATGTTGGCAGCCTATGCTCTGCACTAACTTAGCACCTAGTGCAGAGCCTGGCACATACATGGGAGCTACCGAATGGCACTCTCTTGGATGAATAAATGTATAGATGAATTCACATGCTTTGGATATTGTCTTTGTTTTGCCTCCTCAGGGCTCCCAAAGCCTTAAAACTAGAACTTGTCACCTCATCACTGTAGAGTCTTCCACTCGCAGGCATCTATGCACCTGCTGATCTCTCCTGCTAAGAAAAGGTGACAAGTAAAACTAGCCAGTGGATTCCTGAGGGTAGTCTAGGAGTCTTGAAGCCTAGCAGTTGTTTTACAGGCTGAATCATCCTACCTTGAGAACCAAGAGCATGAGACTTGGCATCAGACAGACTTAGTTCAAGTCTCAACCCTGCAGTTTCCGATCTATATAATCTTAGTCAAAAGTTACTTCACCGCTCTAAGATTTAGTACTCTACTCTCCAAAATGGGGCTAAGCATACCTACCCAGGATTATAGTGAGGAATAAATGAGAAAATATATTAGGTTTAACCCTATGAAACTGCCCAAAACATTTAAATGCCAGCAATTTAGTATAGTTCAATCTAATATATAAAGTGCTTTATAAAGTATAAAGCAGTATAATAAGTACCCCTATATAAGTATTCATTATCTGTAACAGATTTAATTTGAAAGTCACAAAATATTGTTTTTTGCAGTACTAGTGACTAATTACTTTCATCAGAATACAGGTCAAACTAACAGAAGAAGCCACTTCTCTAACAATCATGGGCTGCAGGCATATCCTGGAGCATTTTGGCCTGGGAAATAGGGACGAGGTGTTTTTAGGAAACTAGACTGGTTCATGGAAAGCAATGGAGGTGAACAGCAGGGTAACTTGTGACAGCTCCTACCTGGAAATGACTCACCAGCAAAAGCACAGTAGGAGTTGGCACATTCTACTGCCCCAGGTGGGAGTACCCCCTCCCTAGCTCCAGTTGCAAAGCAGACGCTGCCTAAGACAGACATTCCTTCCCAGGGTGGCAGAGACACAAGGTCCTAGGCCACCAGGCATCTGAAGGAAACTAAAAACAGCTTGTTGCCAATTTACCCTCCCTAGTGGCAGCTGTCAAGCCCAGGGAGCTCCTCTTGACCTAGCAAAATCCCAGGCCTGAGAAAGCTTGGATTTGGAACTGATAGCTGCAGTGGCCACAGTCGGGGGAGTGGGGGAAGGTTCTCGCCGTATTATACATTGCTCCCTCAATCCCAATCCTAGATGTAAAGGTCACTGGAATTTCAGGCCAGAGGGGACTAGAGAGAGTCCAGAGAAATGCCCACAGATTCGCTCTGCCTCTGTTGCTGGCACCCCAGGCCAAGGATTACTGAAGCACTAAGCAAACAGCTATAAACTTCCTCAGCAGTATTTCTCACTTAGGGCATCACGGTACTTCTGGGTAAGACAATTCTTCATTGTACAGGACCATCCCATGCATTTCAGGACATTTCGAATCTGGTAGCAAGGTAAGAGTAGAGCTGGATGAGTCCCAGGTCTGAAGTTCAGGAGAAGGGCTCGAGCAGAGTAGTGGCCTCTCCACAGCTCCAAATGGTGTCTTGGAGAAGGCATCTTCAACTAGATGCTTGCTTGATGGCTGTGCACCACCCAATGAGCCAAGTGCCTGGATAATCTTGGTTGGGCCACCAGAAACGTGTAAAGTCACTCAGACAGGGCCTGGGACCTGAGAGGAGAAAAGCCAGAGAAGATACCCTCCCAGAGCTGCCCATGGGCGGGCAGTGTTCTGCACCGCTCTTAGCCCCAAGCCCTGACCAGCCTGTGGCAGAAGTCCATGTGGATAGTGAGGCCTACTTGACCCCGTGCCCGAGTGCCAGTTTCCGGCATCAGCCAGGATGGATGTAGGATGCGTGACATTCATTCAGGGAAGTGCAAATATCCAATTTGAGCTACAGTATGGACTCACCATAGCACAGAGGTGCTTGACCAGGAGTTCATGTACTTGAATTAGAAAAAAATTACAACTTTATCTTCATTAACCTGTAACTGAAAGTTAGCTTTTCTTCCATTATGAAAACAGACCATACATCACAGTGGCATTGGCAGTTACCTGTGACTTTATCTCTAATAGGAACCACAGATGTTTGTATGTCTCATTACTGCTGCTGCAGGTATCTTGAATTATTGTCCCACTCACGACTACTTTAAAATCATGACAGTCACTGGACCCGCCACTAGCTCATGTTACTTGATGTGTTAATAATGAAATGCATATTACTGTGTTGCAAATTTTAAGATATATATAGATAACTTTAAATGCAATTGACTTCCTTTGTAATCTTATGTATTTTATTTTGTGCTTGTAAAAACATTCCAAGTAGGGGCCCATAAGTTTCATTAGACTCCTCATGGAGTCCAAGCCAGAAAAACGTTAAGAAATCCTGGATTAGAAGGTTGGCAGGAATTCAGTCTCACTGGAGTCAACAAGGAAGGCCTTGAGTGCGAGGAGAAGGAACACAGGCTCGAGTTCTGCTCGCATTGAGGGAATGCTAAAGGTTTCTGACCAGGAGGTTGCCCAAGGTGACGCTAAGGTCTCCAGCCTGGGATTCATTCACAGAAATACAGAAGTAAGGAGGAAGAGTGGATTAGGGTAGTGGGAGAGGGTTCTATTAAATATATTAAATTTGAGACTGAAACAAGTGGGCATCCAGTGAAGATGTCCACCAGGCTCTGAGAAATGCAAATGGGCAGACTGGGAGAGTGGCCGTGGCAACAGGAAAGATTTGAGGATCATCCTCTGAGATGATCATGGGGGCATTTGGAGTAATTGTGCTCAAGAAGGGACAAAAGGCAGTGAGAGAAAAGAGGCCGAGGCAGGGATGGTCATAAGCATCTCCAAGAAACAGATTTGGAGATATCAATTTGCCTGCAAGAGGTTTGTTGGGGACTGCCTTCTGGAACAGCACCTGTGAGGGAGCAGGATTGGTCAGAGACAGGAGTTCACCTGCAATGTAGTTACACTGGAGACCTCAGTCGATCACATGGGAAGCTCTGGAGCTGAGATGCTCTTTAGATGGCCCCAGCTGAGGCCAGGTAGCTGGGCCTTTCTTCCTCTACCTCCCACCCCACCCCATCTATTGACTAGAACTTGGATACAGGCTGCCCCCCAGGAAAGGGGTTCTTACCTTGGAGAAGGGACTCGACTGTGAGCCATCAACCAACACTTCTAATAGCTGGGGGACTGAGTGCCTTGGTCCTGACTAGAGGATCAAGCACCTCAAGGTCTGGTGTTCCAGCCATTCAGGAAATGCAACTGGCTCCCTCCTACCCTGCAGGCCTCTGGGCAAGTCCCTCTCTGCAGCCCAAAGCCAGTTATAGGAGTCCCAGGGACAGGGAGCCAGGGCCTAAAAGGAATTTGAGTCCCTGATACCTGTAATTGAGAGTCTTCAGTCCTTCCCCCAACCTCTCTTATTTGATGCTAAGATAGTTGGGATGAGGTAGGTGGAAGTTAGAGGGAACTGTGCTGTTGCCATCCCTGCACAGTTTGTTTATAAAAGGTTACCAAACTAAGCAAATCAGCCACCATGGAAACAGGCTCTGTGGCTTTCACATCCCTCCCTTCCTTCTGGGGTGACCCACATCTCAAAGAGGGGATGTCACCACAATTGAGGTTACAGATCTGCTCACAAGGCCTGTGAGCTACCCAGGAAATGCAATACTGTTATAGCCATCAAGTAAAAGAAGGTTGGGCTTTATTTTTAAAGAGAGAAATGTAAAAACTTGACTTTCGATTTTGATGTTCATGTCCTTACACCAAAAAATCAAACCAAATAGCAACTGAACTGACTATGCATAAGTTCCCCCAAACCTTTGAAATTTACAGTAGCTGTAGGAAACTTAAATCCAGAAACAGTCATTCATTCACTCCCTCATGCCACAAAAAAAAAAAAAAAAAAAAAAAATTCTGAGTTTGCAAAATGATAGGTTGAAAGACCAAGTGTGGCCTGAAGTCCAGGTTTTTTTGTTCTGCATGGTTTAAAAACTAACTTTCGCCGGGCGCGGTGGCTCAAGCCTGTAATCCCAGCACTTTGGGAGGCCGAGGCGGGTGGATCACGAGGTCTAGATCGAGACCATCCTGGCCAACATGGTGAAACCCCGTCTCTACTAAAACTACAAAAAATTAACTGGGCATGGTGGCGCGTGCCTGTAATCCCAGCGACTCAG